CTTCTTCTTCTCTCTCTCTCTCTCTCTCTCTCTCTCTCTCTCTCTCTCTCTCTCTCTCTCTCTCTCTCTCTCTCTCTGTGCCATCTTATAATTTGGATTCGCTCTGCTAATCCAAATACAATTGCATTTGTCATTTTCGGAAGTAATCCAGGATTGATATCTCCAATGAAATTGGAATTCACTGATCGGCAGCTTGTTATTAAGTGACGAATTTTATAATTTTATCGAAATCTCTAAGCCTTAGCAAATTACGCGATTGCTTTCAAATTATATTTAGCACAAATAAAAAAGAGAAGAGAAATAATTTATTGAAGATGTTTACGTCACGTTTGCTTTAAGTACAATTAAACTCATATCAGTTTCAGATGTTCATCGCCAAATTAAATCTCTGTGAATGTAATCTTGAACGTTACTTCATTATAATGCAGCGTACTGTATTGTCATATTTTATAATACAACAAAGCAGCATTCTCGCGACTCGAAAAATCGGAGGATATAATCCTCCATTTTTTCTCATCTTAAAAATCATATAAAGCTTTTATATGAATCCCATCAAAATTGAAACTTCTTGAAATAAATTTTTCTGTATTTATTTTGTTTAATAAGTCTCAAGATGTATGCATACTTTGCATATTTTATTATACGAATGAGATATATGCACGTGTTGTAAAACTATATTTGAATATTTTGCATATTATTTATGTTGAAACTTACATGCATAATTTTAATAGAACAATATCACAATGTCACATATGTATGTCTTACATCATGATATGTTACATTTTCGATATTATATTCAGTTTTATAGTTTATTTTTAATAATCATTTTATTTTTACCAAATAAATGTTTTTTTTTCAAATAATAGTTCAGATACAATGTCGCATATTTTCACATACTCTTTAGACACGTCATAGTACGTTTCATATCATATTTGTTATTTATAAGAAAATTTTACGATTATATTTCCTAAATAAAGACTCGAATTTAGAAATTAATCAAAAATATAATGAAACCAAACGAAAATGTATAGCTTGCTTTTATCCGGATTTGTCTCTTATTAAGAACGATTAAATGATAAAATATAAAGATCTGTAAAAAAATATAAACAAATAATGTTCTATGAGTAACAAAAACGAAAAACTTTGATAATTAGGAGTCACCATAACATTAATTTACACATTTGAAGTTTTATATGATTATACATGTGAAGATTGTTATACCAAATTTTTTTACGAGAAAGTAAAATATCATGTCAATTTGTATTCTGTATATATCACGGAAAACTTGTATTATAGCATCATTTGATCTCAGTTCATTGAATAAATACATAATTTTGTTAACATCAAAGAGTCGTATAAAAATATTACTTTAATACCCTATATTAAATATCTCTCTTTGAAGATGCATACATTTCTATATTAAATATTTCATCTTATGTATTGCATACAATAAAATTATCATATCGGAGGGAAGAAGAGAATGTGCAATAGAAATCAAAGAAAGATATATGAATATAGGAAAAGTAAATTTTCATGATTAATTTAATAAAAGATTTAAAGCTCGGCTCTTTCTTAAAAACATAATTTCGTGATCCTGAAACTTGAAACCTGAAAATATACAGGACATCTGGCCAATCTGTCACGTAGAAATAATTTCTGAAATAACGGATCATTCTTCGGCCGTGCTTAGTTGTCACGACCGCTTGAATATGGCTTAATTAAGAGAAAACATAATATTGTACACGTAATTTCATGTATGATATCATAAAACCGATGTGACTGCCCGAAAGAGCCGAACCTTAATATATTTTTTTGCACTAATCTTTTTAGAATATTTATTATTTGTGAAGAATGCTTCTTTCTTCTTCATGAGAATTCAACTGTGTTGTGAATGTACAATATCAGACAAGTGACAATACCTTTGAAGTTGTGGAAAAGCGGTTTTGTTAAAAATATATATTTTCTAAATTGTATAATTCTGCGAATTATATGTTGTATATATGAGACAATTGCGTTATGAAAAATAAATTAATGACTAGCTCTATTTCTATGATTTTATGACATACAACTTAAAAATGCAAGATTTTAATAAGATCGTAGCAGCGATTTAAATGTTCCCTTTAATTATTTTACAAACGTTTCAAATGTTACACGCTGATATATATTTTAATTGGAAAACATTGTCAAAATAAATCGTCGCACGTCAATATATAAATATAATACATGTTGTACATAACGTATAATATAATATAAAATATAACAAAAAAAGATACTATTAAAATGTCATAAAGTTAAACGGAAAAAACTCAAACACCTTCCTTTGTTAGATTTGTCTCATCGAGCAAAGCGCTTTTCAATTTATCTTCCAATAACGCATTCTCCAATTGTTGCGTCTGCAAGCGATTTTCTATCTCTTTAGACACAGAATGCACTTCCATAACACAAGCCTTAGTGTTCTCGCAGAATTCTGCTAGCAAACCAAACTCCTCGTCTAACGTACTATCATCTAAATCATTTTCCGATTTATCGAATTTCTTTCGTTTTTTCATCGGTTCATTTAACGCGACACTATTATCCGAGTCCAAGTCGTGCGATATGAATTCTGTCAGTACGTTAGATTTGAACCACCACGGTAATGATCGGAAATGCTTGATGTGATTTTTGTTGTAAATAATCGTTTGATCTGCATCCAAAAGACATACTTTTTCCTTGATCACGTGCAGTAGTATGTGTACAAAGTTGGACACTTGTAAACTACCCGAAGTGAGGAACAAGTCGCTTAATATATCGCAAAATACGATATTACAGTTTGAATCAGACAGCACCTCTCTGCAATAATTCATAATGTGTCGTCGTAAATCTTGTATGTCTGTTATTGGCCATGGTGCACTAAAACAGAGGAAAAAGGATATAAATAATGAAAAAAAGGTCTTCATGTGTACTTCGGTATAAATAAGCCAAAAAAAATAAAAAGTAACACAAACATAGGTACATCGACTAGATCACTTACTTCCATGGTGGCAAGATAAAACTATTCATCGCAATCTCCACTTTCGCTCTATATTCATCATGTTTCCATGACTCGTCAAAATACTCATAATTGCATGGCATGATATTGTTACTCTTGAGATATCTTTTTAATTCAGGTGCGAAACTTGTATATAACAAGGATTCTGGATCTAAGATTATATCTATCAGGTGATTTACGGCCTCATTGTGCAAGTCGATTACAAAGTTGGGATCCTTCAACGCGTTTGACAATTGTTTATTGAGCACAGAATCACCCAGTATCCTGTAAATTATAATAGCGAAGAAAATGAAATATATGTACAGAGGATGTATATTGGAATATACAAGTAGATAAAAATATATACATAAATAGAAGAAAAAATCTTACCTCAACCACAACTCTTCAGATAAGCAAATATCGTACATATTATATAGATAATCCATTTCTAACGGATTCGGTGGTGATTTATTCACTGTCAACCATAAAATTGCGCTTTGTGTCAAATTTAATATAATTTTCTCGGAGAGATTCTCTTCGTACATGATTGTATATTCCGATACATAACCAGATTCCAAGAAAGATTCTAAATCTGAGACAATCATTTCGTTTTGATTCTCCAAATCGCCGTTACCGAGGACAATAAAAGCAAGCGGCACAGGCATTAACTTATGTCGCGATAATACGGTTTTCATTAAACGTTTCGCGACAGATTTGTAATTCTCCGACGCATCGGCGATGAATAGAAGCGCGTCGGCACCGACTAAGTGGTGTTCGCTGATCAAACCCTCAAAATGCCTTATGCAAACGTGCAAAGTTTCATAGGGATTCGGCTGATAAATCTTCACGATAGGATCCATCGTGAAATCGTTAGGATACAAGTATCTGTTCATTATCTTCTTATGATGCCACAAGATCAATCGGTTGACTAAGTCTGGCCAGGAGATCACGAGTTTCCAATACACATTGGGCAGAGGATCGATATCCAGCAATCGGAGGTTCTCTTTGATGCCGGCATACACGATGACCTCGATCGGTGCAAGGGTTTCCGTCGCGTTAACCACCACATCCTCCGGTTCGCTTCGTCGTTTACGCATATTCTGCAGTACCACTTCCTGTTCTTTAGTATACAGCATCCGCGCCGTTTCCTCCACGGATCGCCTCTGCAACCAAACTGGCGTGTCCTCCAATGCTGCTCTCTGCCGCTTCTTTCTCGCCACGTACTGCTTCCAGGCGTTCACGCACCCGACGATCACTCGGTTCTTAATTCGCAATAACATCGCCTCTAACTTTCGTTGCTGCTCGATCTCCGCGGTCAGTACTGCGTCGCACATCTCATAGGTAGTTTCGTTGATCACCTCCGAGAGAATTCTTTTGCTTAACGTGTCGTACATTTGTATCTTATCTATTTCTTGCCTCGCGATAGCAGAGCAGAACTCATATATAACTTCCTCATGTAAGCTGTTGTAAATTTCCTCCGACTGTTGCTCGATTCGTTGCATTCTCCTCACATGCTCCAATTTTTCCAGCCTTGCTTTCTCGGTCTCCGATATCGCTTCCTCTTGGATCTTCTGTTCCTTGTTACGGAAGACGGTTTGCTCTTTAATTTTATCCGCATCTACGAAGGTAGATTGTTGAGTAGAAACTGGTACGAGAAAATGTTTATTAACAAATATTGTAGAAGAGAAAGGTGTTACGTCCCTTGTGAATATATTTCCCGACTGTCCTCCGGAGAAAATACTTTTGTGTAGGACCATCGCGAACGGACCGGTCGATTCTGCATTACATGACGTTTCCGGCTGTTTGGAGAACATACTTGTAGATAGATTATTACCAAAAGTGCCGCTACTAAATATCATTGGCTGTTGTTTGTCGACTGTAGAGCTTTTGCAACTCATCGTACTAGTCAGATTCTCGTTACCAGATTGTTTCTCAGAAACTTTTATCGATGTACTGGCTTGAGTTTTGCATTCAAAGATATTCGATTCCTTTAGCTTGGATTCAACGGACATCGTCGTGTTAAGAATCTCCGAGGTAGCCAATTCAGGAACCGATGCATGTTTAAACACGCTTATCTCGTTGCTTGCAGCGTTTGTTGTCGCTGGTTGCTTTCGAACTTGTGCAGGACGAACGTCCTTTATGACCCTCTGATTAATTTTATCTCGGATTGTCAATTTTGGTAACTTTCTTGTCTCTTTCTCCGTGAATTCATACGGATCGTATTGTTTCGCAGGATCGACGCTTTGATCAGCGGCGTTGATAGACTCCGATTTTAAATTGCCGTGTGCATCGAAGCTGTCGTGTGGCTTATGATTCTTGTACGTCTTTTCCGGCATACTCCCATCCATTCCCGCGATGCATTGTCCGATACTAAAATTTAAGGCCAATCTCTTAGATTCGATTAAATTACAAGCTCTACGTTGCTGGATACTCGCCGTCGGCATGTTGAGGCTTCGACGATTCAGGAGGATGTGTAGTTCATCATTCGACAAGTTTAAGCCCGCATGTTCGCAGAAATACTTTGCTTCTTTCTCGTCCTCAAAGCCGAGGATGTCTATTAATTCGTACAATTCATACGAGAAAACGGTCGCAGTGCTTCTGCAGTATGCCTTTACCATTATCGAAAGGGCTTTCAATCTGATCTGATTGAAATATCTTAACAAAATGCAAGCATTTAAATATGTCGTCTCTCGAACGAGCTTGAAGAATTTGTAATAATTGTTGGAGTCCAATGCGAAGTACACCTTGATCGCAAACTGGATCTCCGAAGAATTTTGTACAGACTTCGGTAGCTGCTGTAAGTCGCATAGGAAATTACCATTGTTTAAATTCAGCAGCACAACGTACGCCCGGAATTCGGGCTCGTTCTTACAAGTAATACCTTTCACTCTCAGATCGTGATACATGTACTTCAAGGTCTGCAAACACTTGGTAAGATTCTCGGAGTTGATCTTCTTGTCGAACACGGACGCATCCTCCGCACAAAGCCTCTCCGAACATACAATGTGGAATCTGGCGCATTGCTCAATTAGTTCAACGCTCTCCTTGCAGCATAGTTCCTGTTGCGTAATGTCCTTCCTAATCCCCCTCGTTCTGTCCCAGAGGAAGTGGTACCATTCCGCTAGATTCGTGCCGTCCTGCTCGCAGAGATCCACTATCTCATGGAGCAAGTAGCTCATAGTCATCTTCAGAGATTTCACAGGCCTCAGCTCATGAGGCATTGGTTCTTCTTGATCCGCGGAGGATCTCGAATACTGTTTTATAGCGATCGCGTGATTTATCCTGTACTCGTTTCCCTCGAGTTGCTCGTACGGCGCGACCTGCCTCTGCGACTCGCGCATCAAACGTTCCTTTTCCGGGCACATGTCGGGACAAGTACCATTGGTTACTTTGGCCGTTGCGAGTGAGGCTGGTTTGACTCGTTTCAATCTCATAAGACGATCCCTAGCTTCCAATACATTGTACTTGTCCTCAGTTGTGAGGGCAGCCTGTTGTATAATATTCTGTAAAGCTTCTATTGATGTGTTGGGCAAAGGTTTAGCTATTTGACTCTCGGTATCATGCTTCTCGACTTTCGCGACGGCTTTCTCTGACTTCGTTATAACTTTTTCATGCGACAAAGCCGCTTTCCCTTGTGCTCTGGTTTTTAACGGAAGCAACATACTTACATCGGCCAGTTCGTTCTCCTTGGTGGAATGTAAGTTATACTCCAGATTTGTCATAGCTTCTAATTCTGATTTAATCTCATCGTCGGATGCTTTGAGTAAATTTGCTACTATGTTACATTGCAAATTCTTCTTCTTGGTTACTGTTTTCGCTGCCTCCATCTTTGTCCATTCTATATGAAATTTTTCACCTCTGTACTCACCACTGCCATAATATGCGGCGCTCGCCTCTACCTTTGTCGCATAAACGACTACAATTATGTGCTTCTTTGGATGAATAGTTATCTTTTTGGTATTCCCAAACTTCGTAAAATGTTCTCTCGCCGCTATTTTGGTTAGTAAAGATTTTGGCACATCAGAACATGTTATCGAGTTATCTATGTTAACTTTAGTAACGCGCGACCTAGAATTCTTTTTCAACTGTTCAAACGCCCCTGTATCCTTGAGTGCATTAGTGAACACATTCACTGAAGGGTTGTACATATTTTTAGAAATATTTGGTTTGTATCTGTTGACTCGTGGGCTTGTACGGATCTGACCATGTCGCGGTACCATCATGGGTGCAGCAAAAGTAAAGACGTCTTTTTTATTGGGATGAACGTTAAAAACATGATCCGATCCTATGCCAAAATTGATGATCCTTGGAAGATCTGACACGGTGCTCGGTTTAGAGAACACGAAGGAATTCGTGGCTGCGCTAGCTTCCGAAGCGTCAACTTCCATGTCTGCTTCATCCATCTACACCGGAATTTCACATTTATTCTAATCTTGTGAAGTGTCAGTATTATCGTACGAATACGACACGATATTACATATCGAAAGAATATATACATTCAATATTTATTCGTATCGCATCTACAAACGAGGTTCTATCGGAATGTTGATAACTGCGTCTTAACTAGCATTAATTAATCGTAAATTTACCAACCTTTTCCCAATATTCTGGAATAACGCTGAGCAAAACAAGTCAACGTCAGAGACGCAATATAACCTACATATCTCAACGCGCGCATTCAAAACACTAACCTATTTTACATAGTATGTACATGCGCAGTTCGTTACAAACGCAAAATCATGAATGGAAGATTCTAACATTTTTTCGATGTATCTCTAAACCTTTGAGTATATAGACATGGAGGGAGAATATTGGCACCGAAAGTGTGTTCAAGGGTGCGTTCCTTTATTCACTCCGAGTACTGTCAGTATTACGAATAGCGTTCCGATATAGAGAATAGTGCACTCCGAAAGTACTGCCTTGAATTCTATGACGTCATTGATTTTACATCCTCTTTATTGGACTCAATAATTTTTGTATGCAGATTAATATAGATAATTTTAGTCTCATTCAATGTAAATTAATTTTAATCCTGATTTAATTTATATTATATATTTTCTAAAAGATTAAAAACTAATAAACATTTTATTAAGCTAGCAGAAGTCAACAGCAATTCTAGTTATTTATAAATTGTCAGATCATTGGAGTATGAATAAAAAAAGTAAACATAATGTCTTGACTTAAGAAAAAAGTACATTTAATCGCTTCATTTCTTTAAAAATTTATTTGTACATTTATTCGTAGCATTTAATATTTAATAATTGTCCGTAGATTAATTTAATATTTAATTATTGTCCATAGATTAAAGTTCAACAATTGTTATTTTCAGTTGAACGACCTACGACGATGCGACAATGCCCATTGCGGATTTTGAAACGGATTCAACACGCATGCGCACATTCATCTCGATTTGCGTCTTCAATCTCTCTCGTGAAACCGATCGAATTATGTGTTATAGTTTTTTCAACAATGTTTGATCAACCGTCGATCATGCGATCTCGATATATGCAAATAATTTCGTTCCTTTGAAAAACTAGAACTATTAATTGAGCAGCTTGTCGCATTTGGCTTGGATCATTATAAGAAGAAAAAGAGAAGTCCAAGTAACGTGAATTCGATATTCGATACATCTATTGCCGTTACCGCTGCGCGGGCAGCGAGTAAGATGGCGGTCGAATCAAAATTCATATCTCGCTCGGTCCTCGACGCCGGCAACGGCGATGACAACGACGACAGAGGTGATTACAATTTCGATAATGGCAACGACGATGTAAACGAGGAGAGATACTCGCGCATGAGACGTCGTCGCGGATGCGCGTGAAATAATACGCGAATCGTTCTCCTCCCCTCCTGCGCAATCGGCAGAGACGGGCACGAGCAGTGGCGGTGAAAGCGAAGCAGACGAGATTTCTGACGCGCCGCGCTGCGTTGCGCTGCGCCTCGCCCGTCCGCGGCACCAGACATCGGCCATTGCCGAATCCGGTTCCGCTCCCCCTCGAGTTTGAATTCCGTAACGGTCGTCGAGTCGGGAGGAGGTGTTTTTCTGTATATCAACGACGGGGCGATTCGTCTAATAACCGTGGGTGTGTGGCGGTGCGGTGGATACGAAACGCCGAGAGCTCCGTCGTGTGCCGACGAGCGGAGCAGAGCGGAACGGAGTGGAGCCAAGCGTCGACGTCGACGTCGACGACGACGACGTCGGTGGAGGCGCGCGCGCGCGCGCGCCTGACGTAACGAGAGGTGGATTTTTGCGCGCGTAGGCAGACAAGATTAATCCGAGCGGACTTCGCCTAGTTACCCGCCCACTCTTAACGTCCCGCGTGTTTACTGCGCGCCCGCGCTACATCGCGCTAATTGAACGCTCCTATTTGCATTAACGTCGCGCTGATGACAGATCCACCTGATCGGTATCTGCTACTGCGCCGTACACCTGCAACTGGATCACGATGGAGGACGCGAACGAGGTTTTGGTGTGCGCGGCTGAATTCATAAAAGGTAATCCGTTCATTTCAGGATTAGAATCTATTTTCGATAACTCTGCCCGAGGAAGCGCGTCTTCTCGTGCGACTCGCGTCTACCAGTTGTAATGATCGAGATTTCTGTAACATCCACATATCATTACAACAAGACATCTGTCTTAAGCAGAAAAACTCCATGAAATAAATGATGAATTTCTCGCATAAACTCGCAAAATTGAATTTGTTTCAAACAACATATTTATTTACATTGAAGATATTTAAATAGCTCTTTAGAAATTTGCTCGGAATTGCAATTTATATGTTCAGATTGTTTTTGAATACTTTGTAAAATTGCCAGAACATTTCTGAGAGATAAAATCTCTTTCTCTTCTGATATATAAAATAAAAAATTAATTATTTCTTTCAGATCGATTGTACTTTGTAACATTAAGAACAACAATGAAACCAAAAAGTACTCCAAACACACACTATTTCACTATTGACAACGAGTTGGTGTACGAGAATTTTTATTCTGACTTTGGTCCTTTAAATCTGGCCATGCTGTACAGATACTGCCAAAAAGTTAATAAGAAACTAAAGGGCATCGCGCTCAGCAAGAAAAAACTTGTACATTATACTACAATGGATTCAGAAAAAAGAGTGAATGCTGCATTTCTTATGGGAAGTTATGCGGTAATATAAATTTTCTTTTCTCTAATATTTTTTGTCAGTTGTAATAATGTGCATATACAGAGTTCGCAGAATAAGATATTTAATAATGTATTAATTTGTTGTGTACTTTCAGATATTGTACTGCAAGCTTACAGCACAAGAAGCTTATGAGTGTCTGATTAAAAGTCCAAATAGTCCGTCATTCATCATGTTCCGCGATGCCTCTGTTGGACCACCATGTTATCAAATATCGTTAAGGGATTGTCTAAGTGCTATATACAAGTGCCATCGACTTGGTTTTTTTAATTTCGAAGATTTCTGTGTGAAAGAATACGAACATTATGAAAGAGTTGAAAATGGAGACTTAAATTGGATAGTTCCTGGAAAATTTATTGCCTTCTGTGGCCCGCATGCGAGATCAAAAATGGAAGATGGTGGGTATTTTTCATCTTGGTGTAGTAGCGAGAATGTGGAAATGTGTGAAAAAGAATGCAATGATGAAAGGAAATGTTGAAACGAATCCATGGAGTGAATGTTTACAAATGCAAAAACAAATGCATGAGCAAAATTTGGAAATAAAGTGAGTATAACGACGAAAAATAAAATAAACATTAACATGTAATAGCTGTATATCTTATTTTGTCTTTATTATTTTTATAATAATTGTAACAAATAGTTCTGTGACTGTATCACATTATCTTTTTCTTCAGGTTATCCTTTGCATGGTCCCGAATCATATTTTACATATTTTCGCCGTAATAACGTGACAACAATTATACGGCTTAATAAGAAGGTCTATGATGCATCGAGTTTCACCGACGCTGGATTCACTCATAAAGATTTATTTTTTATGGACGGATCGACTCCAACGGACTCGATAATGCATCAATTTCTCAAAATAGCGGAAAACACAAATGGTGCAGTTGCTGTACATTGTAAAGCAGGCCTTGGGAGAACGGGTTCTCTCATAGGTTGCTATATTATGAAACATTACCATTTGACAGCACATGAAACGATCGCCTGGATAAGGATATGTAGGCCAGGTTCTGTAATTGGGCACCAACAACAATGGTTGGAGAGGTAAAGAATATATGCGCACACATTTATTCGTCATTTATTTTCTCATTACAATGTGTAATAGTATAAAAAAAATTGACGAACTTTGTTTTTCAGAAAAGAGACGTATCTCCGATCGTTGCTGAAGGAGCCGTTACAATCTGAAAATGGAAATCCGGTACATGAGTATGGGATATACTCGATAGCTGGTAGACCTAGAGCAGCTTCTTTCCAAGGTGATGTAAAAAGTCTAATGGAGGATAATGTATCAGGGATAATGCATCGTGTAGACGAAATAAAATTAGATGATCCTGGACCAGTGGCTGGGGCTAGTACTACGACTAGATTTAGCACGCTAACCCAAGGTGATAAGTTGTGTAGAATCAAAGCCAGAAGAAGAGGTATATCAACGGCTCAAACGTCTCTCAATACAAGTACAGGAACATCTACCGTTGTGCAGTAAGTACATGTCTATGTAGCTGTCTGTTTGTTTAAGATTGGAATTAATATGCATATTGTATTTATAGTCCATATTTGGGATCTTTATTACAAACCAGGAGTCAGAAAGGAACCATTACGACTCTAGTGGGAAATAAAGAGAGAGATCCCACAAAAAGGCTATTATCACGATCCACGGCAACAACAGTCGTGAAAAGGTTAAAAAATGATCTATTTATTTTCTTCGAAATATGCTTTCATATCCTGCAGGGTGTTTATCATCTAAAAAAATAAAGAAAAACTAGAATTCTCAGAGGATTTCTTTTTTACTTTTGAAAATTAGGGAATTTTATTGAAAATGCCAGGAAAATTTTTAAAATTTTATCTTTAAATTTAAATCCTTTTTTTTTTAATTGTTCTTTTAACTATTTTTCTTGATAATATAAAATGTCGATAATCGGTTAATCATAAGTAGTATATGTATTTATATATGTTATTCGTGAATATATATTTATCATTTTAAATTATATTTTTAACAATCATTCGAATCTTGTAACTTTGATGAGTTAAATTCGTGTATTGTGGGCTGAGTTATAGTTGTACATTCAATTTATATTTTGCATTCAATTTGTATATTATTTCTTGTTAGTATTTACTTGAATTTAATATCTAAAGCTAAAATAATTTTTCTTTATAAGTAAAAAACATTTAAAAAACGCGTATCGTATATAATAAATTTATTTTAAAATTGCGTTAAAAAAATTCTCTAATCATAAAATTTGGAATTTTTAATTCATTATCTGGAAAAACGTGGAATTCTCAAGAAATTTTTTTTTACAAAATTTAAGTAAACATCCTGATTCTGTCTCACTTCTTTCTGTCTCATTTTCTTCCTCGATAATTACATTCACACATTCGCCATTCTTTTCTAAGTTATGCTTGTACACTTAGTAACACATGCTTTTAATAAATAATATATAAGATAAATTATATTATTATCAATATTGCATGTATTTCCGAAAGAAATAGGGTTTCTTTATCTTGACTGGAAATTGTAGAAACAGTTGGTTGGTCAACAGTAGCTGTGATCCATCTTCCTGCCGTATTAGGTCTAAACCGACAACTCAGAGCCATAATATCAACAACAATACAACTACCACCAATCCCGTTACATCTTTAACTGTATCAAAACCAGTGAGAAGGGCGAAACGTACATCCTGCATGGCTGCACAGGCCCACGCTACAAACTCGTCTGCCAATCATTCGGTACCGCAACCACAACAACGCATGAATATGATCCTTAGGTCGGCAGACCGAGTTACTCGCTATTCGCTCAGGCAGTAAGTCAATAACTGTCCCTGTTTCTCGAATTTGAGTCTAAATTTACGATTGTGCAATTCTTTCGTTCTTGCTTGTTTGATGTATAAGTGAACAAAAAATTTTACAATATTCCCTTCCGCTACATTCTCCCGCTCTGCCGATTCCCATTGCTTTTGACTCTTTAGCTTCGCTTTGTTCGCCATCGTGCAAATACATTTTCCATACATGACTACCCACTTATATTTTCATCTTTTGTATTTCTCTCACTATCACTATAGTATATGGAGATAAAATTTATGGAGCTTTATAAATTTATATCTGTTAACAAACCAAATATGTTACAAGTATTTTATAATATCTACAAAATATTTTATAACATCTCTTTATGTAAATTTACAAAGATTTTATATTTATCTCTCATTTGCTTGTATATGTTTTATAAGTTTTAAACTGATTGTATTCTTTTATCAAGTTTAAAAGAAGAAAATTTGAAATTTGAAAATATCACTTTGTTATAATTATAGGATCGTTTTGATTTTGTTTAATCAATATCGCATGTAGCATGATTCTTATGTTTCGTTTTTTTCTATCAGCATGTAATTACATAAAAACCTTATATAGGCCTGGGCAAATAACAGTTGAACAGAGATTTATTACACAGATTGAAGTTTTTACATTATGTATAGTCCAGGCCTCATAATAAAATGTTACATTTAGTGCTTATGTAATAAACAAGTAGCACCAAAGGTAGTTAACGAACCGACCCCATTTATTTCTGTGACTTGCAGTGCGCGCACAACAAAAAGTTATAAAAGTGCATTTATCAGATGACTAACCGATATTCCCAGTGGCGTTGGGGAGGACTGTCAGATAACTGGAGCATCTCACCAGCGCCGAAGATCTCATCGTTTAAACCCCATCATTCAATAAAAAGCACTTCACTTTGATCTTCAATACTTCTTCAACTTGAGCAGTTTTGCCCAGGCTTTTATATCATAAATCAAGGAAGATCAAACTATATCTCTACAAAATCATCAACACTGCATTATTAATATGGTTTTGCCATATTTGCATTATGGGATATGAATTTGTTGCAGTGATATTTAATATATAGCTTACACAGCTTTTAATTGTTCTTCCATATATCAAAGTGATCGCGATTCGTTGAGTGTCTGCAAAAAATAGAAAAAAAGGGACTCAGATTTCTGTTAATATCATCTTCTCACTCTAATCTTCTGCTGGTCAGAATACATGTAGCATACATGTAGATACATATTTTCAAAATCATTTTAATATATACATAATTTCTGTTTTCAATAATTTTTTCAATTTTGTCAACATATTAATTTAATGCTCGCATATCTTTTTTGATATTAGTGACATTAGTTTATGTATTTTACGATAACATAACCTATATAATATACTCCTTTAGTTTGTTTAACATTATTAAAATTTTGAATCTTTATAGAAACACTTATTTTTAACAATTCTTCATTATTTTAATGAAACAAAATACATTGTTTCCTTCCTTGGTTAAAAAAATATAATTAATGTATAATCCCTATTGCTGTTAAATATCTAAAGGAGTCAATTTTGATTCAATTTCATGATCAAAGAAGGAATGTAACAATAATAAATCCCTCGCCTATGGCCTCAAAATTAAAACTTATTACAATTTTTGTTGTATTAATATACAAAAATTTATATATATATATATATATATATATATATATAATATGTATATATACATATATATACATATATACATATTTTTATTGTTATGAAAAAATTATTGCGGACCGGAATTGGGTAGTTAGTGAAAAAGAAATTTATTTAGCATTATCGTGATATAAAAGGTGTAGTATATTAGCATAATTGTTCTGTAACTCGATCAGTTTAAAGCAAATGTTATCAATTACGAAACACTGTAATTACGGCACTTGTTGAAAATTTATTTTTGTTGCTTTGTATCTGAACAAATGCACTAAGTAAAAAATCTCGCAATACCGATGTATATATTATATGTGCAGTTTTATATATAAATAATGCAACTCACTTTGCCAGCGATGTTATATTTAGTATATATTTTTCTAAATATATTCATAGATCTGTTAAAATATAGATGTATTAATTTATATATACATCTCTTATTTAATCAGAACAATATAAATTTATAGATTTTACAAATGCAATGCAATTTTGTATAATTTTTCTTTTTTTTTGTACAAATTACATATACACTAATTAGCAATGGCAATTTTAACGTTTATTAAAGACAGAATTTTAATATGTAAGGAATATTATGTATCTTCAGGTCTTTTTGTAAACATGTGAACACACATATAATTATGTAACTTATATAGACATGTCAGCGCGATTACTTTAGCGCAAAACATATCAAGAAATGTGATGTGAAACTATAATGGTATTATAAATTATTATTAAACATTGAGATTTTGAAGAATTTTCGTATCCCGAAAGAAAATTAGAATTTTTAACATTTTACAAAGAAATCGAATAATTGATATCTTTGTAAATGAAATGTTCCATCATATGATTCAAATTGGCCTGAAGATAAGATGATGTGGATGTCCTGTATGTGATGTAGCGCTCTTTGTAAATTGTATATAGCAGTATAAGTTGATTATTTGGAATATACCTTTAAGTACAAGATTAAAATTAAGCTGTTACTCTTACGAGTACCAAAAATTTTTTAAACATGTTAAATTAGTTTAATAAGGTCGGAAACTGTACCTTGTGACACATAACAAAACACGTATAACATTTAACAAAGTATCACTTTTGCTGTATCTTTATTTACAGACTAAAAGACAAAAATATTTATATACAGTAGAAAGATTATAATAAAATGATAGTTATAATTGCTAAATGAATAATTTTAATAAATATTACATCAAAGTGTACATGAGAAGATGCAAATAATGACATACAAGTAAAATTTAGTAAAGAATTTATCAGAATGATATTTAGCACGGATAATGAAATTTAACTGCCTTTGCGACTCATCCAATTAAAATTATTATAAATTATTATCACAATTAATAAAATTGTAGAATTTGCATTTGATTTTAATATATCTTATATTCCATCTTGATGTATTATTATATCAAAATAAAAAATTGCTCCTTTAGCTATTATAACACAATCTTTTTTATAATGCAAATATTTTTAAATATTTTTAATATTGAATGCATACAAATATATTGATTAACAAATGCATGTGTCAATATCACTTTTTAGACACATAGAAATATTACAATCTTTTAACATTTATCAAACTACAGAAAGTCTCTTAGATCCCATAACTTGAACTTTGCTTTCTTGTAATTTTCTGGCTTGCTACAAAACTAGATAATTAAAGATTTTAACTTTAATGTATTTTTTCTAATATCTTATATTTCTAGGTATCTTAGATAATAAAAGCAAAATTTTCTTCACATCATCGATCAAAAATTGAAGAGACAAAGATTCTAAAAAATAACAAAAATTTAAATTATATATATCATCAAAATCTGTCCTAAACAACACGAAGGAATTGTCAATTTTGAATATCAATACTATAGATGGCAGTCGTAAGAGTAACTACAATTGTTTATAGATGTTATCATGCTATATTTAAGATAATTATAATAAAATTTATTATTTTTTATGAGGTTGATATGTAGGACTAAAAATATAGACATGTCAATAGTAGGTTTAGTAAACTTTACACGCAGAGTTCTTAATTAATATACACATACAAAATGCTTTTACACATATGTATGTAGTTTATACATTATAGATCTATATATATATGTATATAATATACATTAACTATGTATTCATTTATACAGTGAATACGAAAGTCTTAAGCTTTTTTTTTCTAATTATAGTGTTTAAGGACACATGTTATTGAAATGTGATGTTTAGGACAATATAGTCTATTCGCCATTAGGTTTCAAAAAGTTTGTAGAGAGCAATTATTTATTTTCGAATAAATATATTGTGTAAATTTTGAAACTAATAGCAAATCTTCTCGAAATTCAAATGTCTATTAAAATATTGTAAATCGCATATAGCATTTCTTCATTGTGTAATGTTGTCCAATTGTAGTGTTACTTGCAATGGAACCATTATTAAGAATACAATCACTGTCATCAAAATTTAGAAGTGTACATAAAAATTATACAAAGTTAATTTATAATGACCATTACGTTGTATAGTAACATTACAAATGTAACATTATAGTGAATTAGTAGACAAAAAGAACATCTTAAAGCGCAAAGATGTTTCTATTCATTATAAAAGTGACATTTAATGTAAAAGTTAGATTAGGATATCAGATATTGAAAGAGTATTATATAACATTATATACTTAAATACTCTTTATAAACTTTTTTTATAACTAAAAACTATAATTAAAATTATTAAATGTGCTCTATATATATATATATATATATATAATAAAATTATAAAGTATATATAGATCATACAGTGAACTTTATATTGTGTTATATATTCAATAAAGAATATGTATTTTATTTATCCTTTTTTGAATATTATATATATAAAATTGTATCCTAATGTTATGCTATTTTGCTACACAGAAAAAACTGTTTAAAAAACAGTAAACGAGCTGTACAATTTGCTTATGTAAACCAATTTATTTTCGTAAAAAAGAAATGAGTATATAGTTAAAAAATTAAATTGGAATATTATAAAATAATTTGTTATTTAATTAAGAGATATATGCAATATGTAGCTAATGCTACCCAATGACTAGCAAATCCAAGTTCACTCCATTTGGTAATCGTATGTCTGTAGCTATACCCTGTTTCTTGCAGATCAGATGTATCAAACATGAGACCTAAGTAAGCTAAATGAAACATCGCCAATCCCGAAAACATCAAATTTGTCATAAACACCCACCAACAATTAAATGAATTGTATTTGTGAGTGCATCTTTGCTTAACGCACTGTTTAGATGCGATGCAAGCGTCGAAAATATCCGCGAGCATGGCCCTGAGTTGAAATTCGACGTATGTATAAAATCCTAGACTAAGTAATATCGCCGCCAACTGAAAGTTCAATCCATGTAGAAGAGAGCTTATCAAATACGTGACAGTTACCGCGCCAAATTTTCCCAAGTTTTTAATGCTAGGACGGAAGATATCTGTAAAAGAGAAATCAATTAAATTTTTATCCGCCATTTTCACATTTTCAAGATTTTGTACATACATGTTTTTAACCAATAATGCATTGGAATGTTCCAATATATGACCACTTGAACAAGTGAGCGTGGAAACTCAATGAATAAAGGTTTAACTATTGCTGATGATGAAAGAGGAAATCCTCCCAAAACTAACAGAGTCGAAGCTATGTATGAAACGAAATAGTGAGATGTTCTGAAGGATAATGCATCTCTGTACGCTATTAACCATCTAAAATATGAAAAGAATATCTTCATAATGTTAAACAAAATAATCGAATAACTATTAATAACTTTAATCCATACATACTAACTTCCAAGAATTATCTACAAATATCCATTGCGTCCAGCAATTTGAGATGCTCAGGAAGACAAAGGAAAGAAAGGCATATCCTAAACTACATATTATCCACCATTTTGTCTGAAATAATATTAAAAATTATCCTTTATTTTAAAATTTAAAAAAATTGGTTTCTTATAGATATATCTTTATATTTAGAAATAAAAATTAAATACACTTATTTATGCACCTGATAATTGGAATAACGCAGAGACAAGTAATCTTTAAAGGATATCCATGGTCCAAATAAACAAGTTACACCACAGAACATGTAACCCATAAAACTGTAAACGTCCGGCACTTTATTGGAGTCATTCACATCAATAGCAATACTAATCGCCTTCATTACCATAGTCATTATTACACTGCGTATCCTATGCCATATTACTGGTTGCATTGAAAATTCACTAAAAACAAATATATCTTATTATCACTTATATTTGAAACAAATAATATCTTATTATCTGCTGAAGTATAAGCATAGTACCGTTTATGTGCAACATACCAATATGCAATTATCAAAAGGGATGGTAAAAAGATCCCTGTATCTCTGTGCCATTTTTTTGGCACATATAAAATACCATAGGAAAGTAGAACGAACACTATTAATACTATTAAAGACTCTTGTACATAATGCTGGATAATATATAATCCTATAATAACTGATAGTATATGAAATATCCTATATGATATGTATTCTGAAATAGAAAATAAAAATCGGATCACAGCTAGAATCATAACAAATTTAAAAAGGGAAATGTAATAACTTTTCTAATATAAAGATAGTAAAGAGATAAACAAATAGTATATATAGTATTTACCAGTGTGAACAAACAGTCTAAACAAAATTGTGCTGCCCAACAGAGGCAATAAATGATATCCCGTATCGTATAAACTGGGACTGAGACAATATTGATATAATTCATGGAGGGTTTCTTTTTCTGAATCTGCATAGTCATAATCATATTCAACATTGTTGTGCAAGCATTCATAGTCCAAACAATCGTCTTCGTCATCGTAGAAAACCGTCGCACCTGCTGTCGCATCTTCCATCACAGCAAGGCTGGAGATAACTGATCAGCATAGCACGTTGCCTAATTTGCGCTCCGTATTTAGCCTTTTATCCATCAAGAAAAAGATGTGAAGTTTCAAAGTTTTTATAAACAAAAGAAGATATAAGACAGAGATAAATTTATTTAAAAGTAATAGTATGTATGAAAAAATGAAAATTTTTATTATTTAAGCGTGAATATAAACGTTTAGGAATGTTAGTATATCTTTTACATATCCTTACCTAATGCTTTCGTATATACGTAATGTATTACTGTGACAATATCTTTCTTTTAACCTAAAAGAACTTCTGTTCGAACTTCATTCAAAACACACCAATGTGAGTGTACCGACGAAGTTGTCAACGAAGTACTGTCAAAGACCACCAACAGCGCTGAGAAAAATTTTGTATCTTAGATGTTCATTTTTATCAGAGTCGGCAATATAGGATTAATAGATATGTAAATCTGAATAGAATTAAAAAAGTAATTAAGTTAAAGAAAGTCTAATATTAAAGAAAAATTTAGAATTAAATTTGTTGTAATTAATAATAATTCCATTTCTGATATAATTTAAGACCTAAGAAATAGAAAGAGAAAATTGGGAAACATAAGCATTACAAAAATTATGTAAATGAAATTTTTATTTGAAGTTAACACGCAATGTTAAAATTCTCATTCTGATTTTATCTAAAATAATTGTTACAATAAATTATATAAATTCTAATTCAATTTATAATACACTTTGAAAAAAAAAATTATTCATTCTGATTTTATCTAAAATAATTGTTACAATAAATTATATAAATTCTAATTCAATTTACAATACACTTTGATATCAAATTCTTTAAGCAACTGAGTGTTCTAAGATGGCTTATATACTTATTGTGACGCATTTGTGTAACTATTTGCATATATAGCTGTATATTTTATTGCACTAATGTAAGTTAAATTAATTTGCATAATCAATTAAGAACTTAGCTGCATTAATCTTGTTGTGTTTTCATAATGTGTTGCTTTCGTATATAAGCTACTTTTATGGCATCAATATTTTATTTTTCTGAACAAGAATACTGTTACGCGAGATTAAAAAATTTCTTTATACGAAATTAAGGAGGCAATAAACCTAAATTCTGTAGACATATCTGCGCTGCTTCTGCCTTTGCCTGTTTTTTATTCGAACTTGCAACACTCGGCTTATATTCAACGCCATTTACTTTTACCTGCAATAAAACATATATGTATACAACATATTTTTGTGTGTGTATTCCTGCCAAATATGCATACTTACTTTGAAGAGGAAATTCTTCCTATGATCGGGTCCACATTCAAAGCATAATTCATAAACTGGTGCTCCAAGTTTCTTTTTTGAACAATATTCTCCTAAAAGCGATACTGGATGTTTTCCTAAAGTAAAAAAATGATAGAATTTTGTTTAAAATAAAATACGTTTTTACTAAAAATATTATATATATATATTTGTAAATTAAAAATTAAATTCGTAAAATAATCACATAAAATAGATGTACCTTCTAATGTTTTGATAGTTGGTACTGTAGGTTTAGTAGCTTTGCCAATCTTCTGTGCAATATCCTGCTCGGAAATTAGTCCTCTCTTGTCCAATTTGACTTCTAGTTGTAATGGTTCCAAAGCTCCTTCTTTGTTCTTGCCTAGACCCTCACCAGGTCGCCAACCCATCTTCTGTAGTAATGCCATTCCCATCCCACCTGATACAGGTTGTGCTGATACTAACTGATCCTAAATATTTTGTTCAATTAGAAGAAATAATAAATTTACATAGCATCATGTTATGCGAATACATTGTTAAAATATAATTTTTAGTTACAATACGCATCCTACTCTTTGGAGTTATGTACACATATATATAAACTTGCTAAAAGAAACATGTGTATTAGGTAATATAATTCAAATAAATAAACTAGTAAGTAAAGATTATATTATAAAACAAATATGTTCCTATTATAAGACAGATATTTTGTCAGATAAAATCTGGAAGAATTTCTCTGTGTATATAATATTGAAATTCTCTGTGTATATAATATTGAACATTTAATTATAATAAAAAATCTGCTATACAATTTGATAAGAATACTTACCGAACAAATAATAATGTCTGCAGCAGGCTGCCGAAGTTGTTTTTTCTTGGGTGTAGCTATATGCCTGTAACAAACCCTCAGGTGGATGCAGACTAATGCTAAATATCCCAGCTTTTTAAGAGGCAATATACTGGCTTCTGATGAAATCCTATAGTAGGAAGCTGACGATAATTAGCAATAATCTCACAAGAGCTCATTATCTCAGTCAATTAAATAAAAAATTCAGTAATAACATAACGGAGTTTGTAATTAATTAAAAATATTTTAAATTAATGCATAAAATCATGATAATTCTAATTTTTTTTATATCATTCTTATTATAAAACTTGTTCTTAAGATAGAATAGACTTACTGACAGAAATTTAAAATTCTAACTTTAACATTTTGAAATATAATTTTCATTGAAATAACAATGCTCCTGTGTCCATGCAGGCACAGAATCCACTTCTAAATAAGAAATAGTCTGTGCCTACAACACAGTCTCCATTAATATCAACAATTGATTCTATTGGAGACTGTGCCTGAAAATTTGTTACAGGCAATATCAGTGTGTCAATATCTTTTAAACAATGTCAGGTCAAAAATCTTAACAAAGCTTACTATTCAGTATTATAAAGAATATAACTATTGTAAGATATATTAAACCTGTTTCATTGTTTAAATAAAAAGGGAATGGAAGGAAGGGATTATAATAGATATATATCGAAAATGATGCATTTACATATTACATACATAAAATATTGTTCTCTTAATAAAAATTTTGATATCAATTATATTGCATCCATTAATATTAAATATCGTCGTGTTATAAATGTAAAAAGTTTTTTTTCATATAACAATTTATGTTTGATTTAGAAATGCATCGTATATTAGGAGATTTTGGCATGGTTGGAAAGATGAATCTTATAGAATTGGATGTAATAAAATAATAACATTACCTTACGGGCCCAGGCTTGATAACCTGAAGATAATTCTGCAGGTGTAAGCACTTTAACTCCTGTACTACCAGTAAATTGACCTGGTATCTGCTTACTTTCAGCCCAATTTTTCATCTAGAATATTATAAAATACAAGTTATAAACATGAAAATGATGCTATTTCGCAACAACCAACGTTGTATTTTCCTACCTCATTTTGTGCCCGATGCATTGCATTCAAAGCACTTATGTCATTCGGATTTTCCCTTAATTTTCTTATGGCTGCTAATCTTTCAGATACTATGGAACCAATATCCATAGTCTGTAAGTTGATATAAGTTTTTAGTTTTTTATAACTTGAGTTTTTAATATAAATTGATAGTATAAATCTAATTTCCTTATAAATTGATTATATAATATTTTATGATACATTATACATTTTTTTATTTCACCTCCGTTGTTGGAAAAACAGTTTGTGTAGGTTGCGTAAGTTGCACAGATTGCACAGATTGTACAGATTGCACAGATTGCACAGGTTGCATAGGTTGCACGGGTTGTATAGATTGTATAGGTTGCATAGGTTGTGCAGGTTGTATAGGTTGCATAGGTTGCACAGGTTGCATAGGTTGTGTAAGCTGCATCGACTGTATAGAGTATGGTGGCTGTATAAGAGGTGTTACAGCTGATGATGGATTTGTAGAAGCTGGTACAAATATCTTTTTTGGTTCTGGTTTTTTTGGTGTAACAGGTACCCATTCATTTTCTGAAAATAAATATTGTGTGATGTGGATGCATCAAAACAAAACTTTAAACTGTATTTTAAAAATTCTTACCGCTTCTTCTATGATGCTGTCCGCTGGAGACTGGAAACTGTAATCGCAATTGATTTGATGTTTCAGCTGTTTTTTCTTGAAATGTTTTCGTTGGCAGCTGCTTTGCATCCTAAAAAACAAAAAAATTTGTTTCAAATTATTATATTTAACATTTGTTAAATGAGATTCTAATTGACAATATAAAACAATGAATTTATACTAACTCTAATATTCATTATGATAGAACTCGGTCTTTCTTTTAAAAGAAAAGGATGATGAAATCCCTTTTCAGATTCGCTTTCTTCATCCTCAGAAGAAATACTAGATAATTCACCTAGCGCTTCAGACTTGGATAGTGATTTACAAAAATCTATAAAAATGTATATAATAAATTATATAATAACAGATTGTTGAATAATCTATATAATTGCTAAGTTTAACATAAATAAAAAGATATTACCTGTAAGTTCGTCCACTGTTTTTCCACCGGACTGTATAGCAGCAATAGCTTTGTCTTGTTGGGCTACCGATAGAGTTCCTTGTTTTATCATGTTTATAACATTCCTTCTTGCAATTTCTAAAAGCTTCTTCTTGTTAATCTCTATTCTCTCCCTAACAAAAAGAAAAAAAACAATATTACATAATCTGGTTTGAAATACAAATGTTATTTTATCCCCAAATAATTTAATATGACATTAACTTTCTTTCTCTGCTCGCACTTCTACCTCGCGTATATCTGTCTTTATTCTCACTGCGGCTTCTGTATCTGTGCTTTTCCCTGTTCCTGCCCGAGTCTCGTCTTTCATTACTCCTATTTCTTTCATGCCTTTCTCTGCTCCTGCCCCTCTGTTTTTCTCTCCCGCCACTTCTACTTCTGTGTGAGCTTCTGTATCGCGTTCGCGATCTTGATCTTCTCTCTTGCGAACGACTACTCTTGTCTCTTGTGCTTCTGAAACAAGCAAAATTCTTTTTGTGATTGCAATCTATACAAATCTTTTTTCTTTTTCTATTTTTACCTTTTTCTCTCCTTCTCCTTCAAAACTAATCTAAGATCAGACTTTGAAGCAATCGGTTTTCTTGTTGGACTAAACATTTTGCTTCTCGTTCTTTCTCTACTTGGACTGAACGACATTGACCGATCTCGAGATGGAGTAGGACTCAGAGTAGGTGTTCTATTATTATTGCTACTGCTGCTGTCAGATAATTCGCCATCTTCCATCTTTGCAGCCTTTGCTTTTTGCTCATTTTCTATTGCTTTCACTGTTTCATTATAAACTGTACTGTTTTTCAGATCTTTTATCAATATTTTTCCTTGAGAAGGCTGCTTTGGTTTTTCTAATTGTACAAAGAAATCATTTATATAAGTTTATTTCTTTTTCTTTTTTACTAACATACATATTTTGTCATCAAATATATATTCTTAAAATTACACATTATTTTATAAAATAACTTATGAATGTTACAATAAAAAATACAAACCAAAAAGTTTAGGTATCACTGGCTCATCAGATTCATCATCTGTCTTCTTTGATATAGGTGGTAATCGAGGACTACCAGAATCATCTATTTTATCCATTGTACCTGATTCCTTTTTTGTATTAAATTGATCATCCAGTTTTTTCTCATCATTTACATCAATCTTTTCTAGCATATCCAGTGACTTTACATCATATTTGGCAAGATCATCATCACTGCCCATCCTTGCCAATTTAACTTTTGGATGACTCGAGTCAGGTGACTTACTGGAAATAGATTCATGCCTCCGTTTGGACTTTTTCTTATGCTTCTTCTTCTTCTTACCACCTGATTAGAATGGAAAGAAGTCATTATATTGTCATATATTTAATGATAGATCTATTGTTACCTTCTGCATCACTGTTACTATCCGAGGAATTATGTCTTGATTTCTTTTTATGCTTCTTCTCCTTATGTTTATGTTTTTTCTTTTTTTCTTTGTTTGAATTTTATCTGGCTTAGTTTCAGCATCGCCATTATGTACCTGCTGGTTACTATTCAACGGCGATGGTACGCCGTCGTCTGGCGCGTCGAAAGTGCTGAAGAGTTCTGTTAGGATCTCATTAGATGATTTCTCTGGCAACCCGGGTTCTTGCTTAATCTTCACACCGTCGACGCCGACGGCGGTAATCAGATTCGCAATATCGAATAATTCTGCCATCGCATTACACTACTACGTAATATTCTGCCTTCCTTTGATGTAAAATTTACGAAAACAATAAATTACGAATAGACTCAGGAAATATTTTCCTTGCTAGAAATAACCTAAAATCACATTAAAGTAATTCATCAACTCACATAAATAATCAATCCAGATAAGCTCTAAATTGTGTTCCAAAAATCGCTGCCTATGGCTATGTTCCAAAAATCCTATTCAACAGATAAATTTAATTGACCAATCAGGACTAAATCTTTGCTTTTTTGTCTTGATCGTTCAATTAAACGTTTATCGAAAAGAGTAAATTAAACCAAAGTTAAATTGATAAAAATGAATAGAAATGGATTATGTTTATTTCTATCAATGTAAATTAACCTTAATGTAAATTAATGGTTAATTTACATCTTGATTTAACTTATTTTTTAATTTTTCACATTTCAATGAATTAGAAAAAGATGAGAGTAAATTATTAAACAAAGATAAAATTAATAGGCATTAAAAATGATTAAAAGTGAATGAATTGATTAATTTTCGATTTCTTGTATTCATAAGCCGCGTATCGCATGAGAGTCGAAGAGAAAATTTATCAATCGACATTTCCGGTGTTATTTCAAATCCGACTGGAAACACTTAGCGACATCTGTACGGACAAAACAGGAACAATCGGTGGCGTTTAAAAGCTAACGATCTTTTTAAATCTCCCCTTGGAAGTTGCGTTCGTTTAAATCGCGCTCTCGGGAATCCACTCGAAGAGATATCCGAGCCTATGTTGATGTAATTTGAATCAAGACCACAAAAAAAGAGAAGGAAATTTCACGATCGACCAACGCATATCTCAGACGCTAGCGAATGCCGGCACAACGGAGATACGTTACAGCATTGTCTCAAAGTGCGCGTCTCATTGCTACGAAATAGAACAGTGTTAATTGCTTCGCTGATAGCTCGTTTCCTACTTCTTTAGGATCCTTTCAAGGACGCTCGACATTCACTTGCAATGACACATTTTAAGTTCATGAAGGAACTCGACAATCTCACCCGCATGGATGATGCTATCAAAGGCGCGGTTCCGCGATGGCAAAAGAAATGCTTGGAGACATCTAATTTGAGGTGAACATTCTGAGCTTCGTTAGAATCTATTAATTCTTAATTGATACTTATAATTTATTTATTTTATGAGTTTTGAATACTGAGTTTGTTAGTTCTTTGCATGTCTATTATATGTCTATTTCAGTATTGCTTTATACATCCACTTTGTGTTTCAGCTTAAATCAGAATTTGAACTCATCAAAGAAAGCTACAAGTTGTTCCTTCATGAGCAATACATCAGGAAAATCACCGACGAAGAAGAATGACTTTAAAACTAAGAAAACTCCTTCTAAATGTACCAAGAAATCTCCAAGTAAGATACTTAATGTTGATATATACAGTTTATAAAAAGAATGAGATTTTTTTATGATTTTAACAGGTCGTGCTACTACTCCAGCTAAAACACCCACTGCTGGTGATAGATTTATTCCGGCAAGATCTACAACTAATTTTGAATTGAGCCACTTCAAGGTAAAAATGACTTTTTTTAGGTCTTGATTTTGTTTTGTCATGATTTTGTAATATATATATTTATACATTGTTATTTTTCTACTTCAGATTCTTCAGCAACAAAATGCAGAACAAGACAAAGACAAAACTGATATAAGTCCTACAAAACGAGAGATGCAGCGTCTTATAGGGGAGAATCTTTATGGTGGTGATATAAGCAACACAAGGATTTTGTCCTATCAGATTAAAGCACCAGCCCCACCGGAGGGATATCAGAATCCTCTCAAAGTCCTGTATAGTCAAGCTAAAACACCGGCTAGTGTCAGAGCTTCCATGAGATACATACCACAAGCTCCTGATAGGATACTGGATGCTCCAGAAATTATTGATGATTATTGTAAGCTTTTATATTTCTTATGAGAAATATGAAAGGAGAACTGGCGAATAAAAATTATTTATTTTTACAGATTTAAACTTGGTGGATTGGTCAAATAATAATATTTTGGCTGTAGCGCTAGGTGCTAATGTATATTTGTGGAATGCTGGAACTGGTAGTATAGAACAATTATTTGAATTAGAGGCAAACGATTATGTATGCTCTGTTGCTTGGGTTCAGGAAGGTCCATATTAGCAGTGGGCACCACGATAGGAAATACGGAATTGTGGGATTGCAGTCAAATGAAGAGGATGCGTGTTATGAATGGACATGCTGCTAGAATAGGTTCTCTTGCCTGGAATTCCCATGTACTGTCGAGTGGCTGCAGGTACACAGAATATATGAGATAATTAATTTGCTAATAACTATACATTAATTATCTAAATTGTCTAATAATTGCATTATTATCATAAAGGTCAGGTAAAATAGTTCATCACGATGTCAGGCAACGAGATCACTTGATCTCGACTATAAGTGCACACGCTCAAGAAGTGTGCGGTTTGAAATGGTCACCCGATGGACAATATTTGGCGAGTGGTGGCAACGACAACATGTTGCAAATCTGGCCGTCGATCAGCGGACAAAAACACTCTCAGACACAACCTATTTATTCATTCAATCAGCATCAAGCTGCCGTAAAAGCTCTCGCTTGGTGTCCTTGGCAGAATAATGTACTCGCAAGCGGTGGCGGTACCGCTGATCGAACCATTAGGTTTTGGAATTGTAATACAGGCAAGTTGCAAGAGAACGCAAATAAAATTTGTAAATTGCAATAAATTCTAATATACTAAATTCAACGAATATGATAAAAAAGGAATGTAATAACTAGTGATAAAAAATAAACATGACTCGATTTTTTTTGTCGTAGGTGCCTGTTTGAATTCGATAGACACAAAGTCTCAAGTCTGCGCCCTTTTATGGTCCACGAATTACAAAGAGATTGTTTCTGGACATGGATATGCGCAAAATCAGCTAACAATTTGGAAATATCCGACGATGACGAAACTCGCGGAACTTACCGGTCACACCAGTCGTGTTTTGCATTTGGCCATGTCTCCGGATGGAACTACGGTACTTAGTGCCGGTGCTGATGAAACACTAAGGCTATGGAAATGTTTCCAAATGGATTCTCAAAAAAAGAAAGAAACCAATGATGTAAAATCGGTTGCATCCAGATTGAAACAATCAATTCGATAAAATCGACATGTTACGCATGTTGCTTAGTAATTATTCTTGTATTTATTTTTTTTTAAATGATTCAATAATGATCGATATATAAATAAAAATAGAATGATATATTTTGACTTAGTCGAGGATTATCGAATACATTGACTTGTCAAATCGATTGACTAATTTACTTTATAGAAAATTAGAAAAATACAAAAATATTCGTTAATAATAAATACAATACATATTTGGAATGCATGTGTGTCAGTAACACCGAATCATTTATTAGACGTTGTAGAATTGCGAAGGAAACTTCTTCTACTCCTCTTGGAGAAGCAACCGCTTGTGCGTCTTATTTCTATTAACTAAATACGAACCGCTAAGGTTCGATATTACTATATACATTATGCCGATAATTAAACGCGGAAATTAGAAAGGTTTCACATTAAGGATACAACGATAAGAGTAATAATTAATTAACAATAAGTAATTAATCTTTATTATTAACTATTAACTTAATTGTTTATTATTAATTATTATTTTTATTGTTATATCATTAATGTAAAATCTTTTTTGATTATTATTCACTATCAATACAGTGTGTCGAATTTTAGCTGTCTGTATCCAGTCAGTAGAGATAAGACGCGCGACTGGCTGCTGATGATTGAAAAGAAATGATGTGTAGAAGGAGAAAGACCTCGTGGCATGTAGTAAATGATTCAGTGTTGTACGACTAGCAGAAAAAAATAGATATAAGAATATTATTATTTAAGTAATCTAAAGTACAAACAGAAATTTGCATTAGCATATTTTGTTTCTAATTTGTATTACACAAAAATTTTACACGAAATTATAGTCTCTAAAATAATAATTATAAATGTGTAATAAATAAAATTTTTTATAATAAGTTGAAAATTCTCCTGTATTACTTCGCAATAAGTTTTTAATGATTATTTTATCATTACTTACTAATAAAGAATATTTTTCTTATATTGTTACATTTGGAATGAAATTTCATAAATTTATCAAATCTATATGTGTTAAAATCATATTTGATTTTTCTCTTATTTTTTGATCTTCATTTATTTATATAAGTACCGGTATAACAAATTTCACATCATGTGAAAATCTTACTGTCTTTCACACAGAATAAAAAGCGTTCGCGTCGCATCTCCCCCTCCTTCTTTTTTTCTCTTCACGTTCACAAGCAAGTTCTTGTGTTCAGGTGCACTACACAGGTACGTGCAGATAGCAACAGGTATTAAGGCTCTGAACCTACCAGACAGCCTTGCTCACAAATATAAATGAAACCAATAATAATAGACGAGTTATAATTCAAGATATTAGTGAAAATAATGTATAATAAAGATCTGTTTTATATTTAATATGTATTGTAATATTGTCTTTTTATGAGTTCAAGTTTTACTTGTAAAATGATTACAGAGGTCGACGCTGTGAAAGACAATAATTTTCAATTAACATGAGCGAGACGGAGAGCAAGAACGTTCTATTAAAATCTAAATGCAAACAATTCGATCAGCCGTACGCTGCGGATATCTGCAACGAGGATGATCACGATTGGTGGGCGAGTGACAGCGGCTCCAGCACAGGATCATATTACTCGGACACCGGCAGGTAATTTAATTAGATAAATATTCAGAAAGATATATTTTTCGATTTGATTTTATACAATTACAGTTCTGTGGTCGAGTGGGAATCGGAGATCGGACCCAACGGGGAAGTATTCTATATAGAATCCGCGGAGGAGAGTCTGCTTGAAAATCCCACAACTTTGGAAGATAAGAGCGAGAGCCCTCAGCCTGAATTGATGCGTCGCCGTAGCACACGAGCCGGTAAACTATTCCGTCTCATCAGACGCAAGGAAAGCAAGCGGTGGAGCACGAGAAATAAAAGGATCAGCAATAGCGCTACGGCAAGTAATGCTATCGCTCAGGAAAAAGGAGATGGAAGCAAGGAAGTCAAATTTCAAGATTTTCAGGTATTGAGCAATCAAATTCAGTGAAGATAATGGTGAAAAAAATTATATTTTGGAAAAACTTAAAAGAAAACGATTTCAAGACAAAAAAGATAAGAGCTGGATTTAGCTATAATCTAATGTTATCCATAATGTTACATTAATATTATTTACGCAGTTTTCTAACGATTATGTATCTCAATAAATATTAAAGTTGTGTTCTATGCAATGATCAGGCAGGAGAAATTCGAGAAGTTACATTGTGGGTCGATCCTGAAAGAAGACATAAATTGGGAAGAAGGGCGACTTTGTGCGAAGCATACTTTGGTATTACTCCGGGTGCGTTCTCGGACAAAGTAAGAGTTATGGTGGCTGGATTTATACCTGATGGCGAAGCTATGAAGAACAGAAATATAAAAATTGGAGATTGGTTACGGAGTATCAATTCGAACGATGTTACTTTTCAAAATTTAGATCGGATACTATCTGAAATCACCACGCCATCAAACGTAAGATTTAATAAATGCCGATTCATTAAGAATCTGCTACGCGTAATTATAAATATAATAGTTAAATTTATCTTAAATTTTTAAAAATTTCTTTGCAGATAACACTGGAACTACAAAGAGTAGCTGGCGTCGATGTTACTGCAAAATTACCGAAAGCAAATGAGCCAAAAGTAATTACCTTCCATAATAAACTCAATGATAAAGACAGCATATTCGAGATAAAATTTTGCCGATCATATTTTTTTTAGCAATCGATATTAGCTCAATATTTGGTGAATAAAGAAAGTAGTAATTCTTTTATGGAATCTCTGTTGGATCATCCGTTGGGCATAATATATTTGAAGACTGCGGATCTTTCAGAAATGGGACCAGAGATGCAAGGCGTACTATATACATTCCCTCGATCTGAAAGTAAAAATGCACATTCTTCGTTATGTACGGCAAGAGGAGCTTTTATAACTCTTAATCATTTATTATCTAGTATAATAGGCCCGCAACCAGTCAGGTACATTACGTATATGTATGCGGTATCAGTTAGTATCATATTTAAAAAATATATATGTATTATATAACGCATATTTTTGTCTAGTACAACTGTCCATATAGGCGAGGAAGAAACACATATCGCATATACATCTCGAGATGATGAATTACTTTTGATAGCTTTGCCTGGCAAATGGTGAATTTTATTCGACAATATGGGAAAAACATAACAGTTATTGTAATATAAATTTCATTGAGTGTTTTTCTCTTTAGCTGTACGTCTCAGGAGATCGTCAAGATTACAGAGGACATAGTCAGAACATTAGAGTTTACTTATCAATCGCTAACAAAATGCTTTACTCCTGCGGAAAATCAGTCCTCCTTGGATCATTTTTTCATGTTAATTATACATAGATTGATGAATATCAAAGATGTTTATAAAGATGCCGATATTAAAAAAGATTCAATAAAGTCGCAAAGTAATACTGAAAATGTGGAGAATTATAAGTTTAGAAGCGCTTTTTCAGTTGCAAGTTTCATACAACTACCGAGAGACGCGCAGATTCAAATAGATGCCGCATTAAGCGAAATGGAAGCTATGGATTATAGAGATTGGGTATATTGATTAAGAATATGCAAATAATTAAGAATATGCTTATGTTAAACTACGAATCTACATCGGGAATCTAATAGATGCGCGTATTCAACAGAACGAGGATCCTATGGATTGTCAAAGATTATATACTATATTAGGGAGTTGCATTTATCACAAATGCCATCTTCTGGGATCTCATTTACCTCATGAAGATTTAATCGATGTACATTCGTTTCTGAGACACAACGGCCTATTAAATCTAGTGAATCAGGAACAAGTAAAATGCCTAGTTCTGTGGAAACAGATTTATCCTTCGTCGTGCAATCGTGGGAACATTGAACATAGCAGCGATCAGATATTAATACCTAATGGAAAATGGTTTTTATTGGTTGTCGGATATGGACACGATTTATTAGCGGTGCTTTTAGAATCCGGTGGATGCACTGCAAAGTGAGTATATTATCTTAGGTAATCAGAAGTGAGTATATATTATCTTAGGTAATCAGAATATCATTTTTCATTTGAATTTTTTATCATTTTTAATTAGATACAATGATACGATAGGCCCGGATGTATTTTACGTGGAAGAAGCTCAAGAAACATTGAAGCATGTACAAAAAATAGGAGTCACAGTCTTGGCCTCAAAATGGATTACATCCAATACCAGACCAGAAGTAATACCGTACGAAGAATATACAACGACGAAGGTGTCTAGCATAACGGAGAATCTATTTGGTTTGATAAAATCGTCTGACGTACAAACTGTACCATCTAAGCAAAATGTCAATTCTACTATTAGTAAAAAACCACCAGAATTGCCATCTATTTTGAAGAAACGTAGTCCTGAAGAAAGTCCCATGATTTCGGGTTCTGGTAAGCCACAATAGAAAGCATGAAACTTATTCAGTTATTTCTTATTGTTTGTCTTAATTTTCTTTATTAATTAATAAATAATACGATATAATATTTCCTATAAATTATTTTATGAATTATATAGAATTATTTAATTACATTTCTTATGCATGTTTAGTATATTCTTTACAAACGTCCGAAGATTCACTCAGCCAAGGAACAGGTGGTGTTAGCGAAATGAGTGACGAGGCGATGCCTATACTTGGTAGACGAGCAACTAGAGAAAAGATAAATTCG